CGCTGTAGCTCAAGTGGTAGAGCGCTCGCCTTGAGCTGAAGAGCTGAGGGACAGCGCCCAGGCCCAGAGTTCAAGCCCCAAACCGACAAAAAAAAAAAAGAAAAGAAAAAAAGCAGTTGTAAAGACATGTATCTAGTAAGACTAGTATTTAGAATAAGCTCTGAAGCAAAATGTCTCAACAAAAAATGGAAATGTGCTGGGTAGCAAATTTATAGACAAAAAGTACATCCATGATTGACAGGAAAGGGCCAAGGAAGACATATTGTTAATAGGTATTGAGTTTCTTTTTGGTGTAAACATTCTGAAAGTAGATAAACATTCTGAAAGTAGATAATGATGATGGTTGCGCCAAGTGCGAATACTGTATACTAAATTAAAAAAAAATCGAATCTGTAGTGTTTCCAGTTATTTATAATGTGAATTAAACACAAAGTAAGAAATGAGGCTAGGCATGCTGGCACATGCCTGTAGTCCCAGCACTCAGGAAGGTAGGGCAGAAGGATCCCCAGTTCCAAGGCCAGCCTTCGGCTGCTCAGTAAAATACTGTCAGGAAATTTAACACAAGAAAATAAGCCAAAGAAGAAAAAATAAGTTAGAGCAGAAAGTCCAAAGGAATATGCTAACATACAAATAAAGCAATACATTTGTCACTTCATAACTCCTATCAATTCTCCTGAACACAGGAGGACTAATTAGTCTCACCATTAAACAAGGCCTTGCCTCAAGGGCCAATCAAAGCAGAGCTTCTCTAACTTACGTCACTGAACTCCAGTGGTAAACTCTCAGTGGGCTGAAGCTCAGCAGCACTCAAGTACAGATCCATGGGGCCGGCTTCCAGATCGTGTGGCACAGACAGTACCTGCTGGGGCTTATACATCTGAGGAGGCAACTGGAAATGCAGTGGACAGCAGGGATCCTCAGAGAGGCTTACAGGAACTGGTTTGTTGCAAGGCACCTCTTCAGATCCCTGGCAGCATTTGAAGAGAACCTGGTTTGTGTCCTGACAAATATCTGTAGAAAAACTGTCAAGGGAAATACAAACAGGATCTATTGGAGGTACAAAATACAATAGTGATGTCCACCATGTAAAACTCACAGTGTGGATATTATACACCATTATAACTACACATGATATGGGAAAACAAACGCAGTTATTAGTTCTTAAAGTTACCCCTCAAAATAAGTGTCATTTCTTAGCTTCTAGTTCTAGTTCTACCAGCAACTTAAAATTAGTCCTCAACCAATAATCAGGAGATAACAATGTGGTTTCTACAGTTAAGTAGACTAGCTAAGTTTATAAAAACTTATACTTTCTTTGTAACATGGTAAATTCCTTTAAAGCAGCACAGGTAAAAAGATATGCACTAGATATCAACCTAACAGGAAATAAAAGGTTTTCCAGGCCTGTCTATCTTAGGAGAGAAATACAGGGGATACAGGTATGATCCCAAAAAAATCTAAGATACTTTACTCATGAAAAGCCCTAGAAAGCAGTACTCTAGGAATAATCTGAGATTTATAACAACTTTTGTTAAGAGCAGATACAAACAAGGGCTATTTCAGGAAATGGTGCTGTGGCAGAAGTGGTAGAGTGCTAGTCTCAAGCTGAAGAGTTCAGGGACAGTGCCTAGGATCAAGCCCCAGGACTGACCGCCCCCCCATCCAAAAAAAAGGCTATTTCAAAGTTGGCAAAATTGTTCTACAGAATAAGTCAAAACGGAATTAGGCAAAATAATTTCAAGTTCAAACTACTTTACAAAATATTGTTTCGTGTGGTCCTGGAACTTGGCCTGGTAGTACTGTCCCTAAGCTTTTGTGCTCAGGGCTAGAGCTCTACCACTTGAGCCATAACTCCAATTCTCAATCTTAGACTTTCCTGCCGAAAGTCCAGGCTGGTTTCAAACTTTGATCCATTTCAAATCTCAGCCTTCTGTGTTAGCTAAAATTACAGGTATGAGCCACTGGTGCCTTGTTTACAAAATACATTTTATTCAAACGCTAACATTTCTTAAAATGATAAACACACACCAGGCACTGGTGGCTCACGCCTGTAATCCTAGCTACTCAGGAGGCTGAGATCTGAGGATCATGGTTCAAAGCCAGCCCGGGCAGCAAAGTCTATTGGACTCTTATCTCCAATAAACCGCTAGAAAACCAGAAGTGGTGCTGTGGCTCATGCAGTAGAGCGCTCGCCTTGAGCTGAAGAGCGCAGGGACAGCGACCAACCCCAGAGTTCAAGCCCCACGACTGACAAAAAAAAAATGATAAACACACGATTTTCCTTACATTTATGAAAAGCATTATTTTAGAGTTGGGCAAATTCTTAACCAGAAAACACAAACTTCCTTTAAATTTCCAACTCAAAATTTTCAACAAAATTCTTCAAAATAATAATGTACAATGCAACTTTTAAACCAAACAAACCTTAAATAAGGTATTTCTTTCCCAAACTACATGGAAATTGCTTGACCCTAAAAAGCAGGGTATCAAATATAGCCTTATTGATCTTGTGAGCCAGGTAACTTTTAAGATGCATATGTTTCCTAACAACCCTAGATCTTTATCCTGTAGCGGTTAGTAGCACTTTATCTCCCATCCCCAAGTCACCGCAACAAAAACTTCCCAAACATTATCAAATGGTGGACCAAACATCCCCAACTGAGATCCATTACTCTCAATCAACAGTAGGCAGTACACAGTAAATATTTAATAGGAACAGAGTTGTACTCCCTATGTGCTTAAGAAAAGCTAAGCAATGTCTAATGTGCTTAAGAAGCCTGGCTGGGTGAACAAATGCAGCCAGCATCAGTACTCACTAAATACTACATTCAAAATGATCTATACAACATGTGGGTAGGCATGGGAGGGAAAACTGGGGAAGAGTAAGAGAAGAGGTGACATTGTACAGGAGGCAGTACTGAGGATTGAACTCAGTCACAACTTTGCTAGGCATAAACAATACCAGTTGAGCCATAACCCAAGCCCAAGTTAGTACTTAAAACTTTAATCCACTGAATTAAATTTCTCAGCAAAATATTTTCCAATGAATTCAAAAGACTTTCATAAAGGTCTCTTATTTAAAACTATACTAACCAGGACAAACTTTGGCCCCATCTTCTTCCACCCCCTTTCCTTTCAGATAGGGACAACAGAGATAAAAGGGAATGGTTGACCTACAACTAGAGTGTGGTCCTTCACTTTCAATCCAGTGCTGCCTCCATCAGACCAGAGTAAAGTTAACAGGTCATCAATGGCAGTTGCATCTGTCTCTGGGGAATGGACTTAAGGAAGGGTAAGTGACTTAGAAAACTATGGACCGAAAAGGAACATAAAAAGAAAAACATACTTCCCCTTGTAAATACATTGCATCTTCAAATTTGCTGTTAAAAATATTGACAGTCTAATAAAGTGGCTTGCAGCATTTAAATGTCTAAAATCGTACCTATCTGTACACTGGCACTTCATTAAATCCTAGTTCACCTAAAATCTTAATTCCCCAGTTTTCCCTCCCATGCCTACCCACATGTTGTATAGATCATTTTGAATGTAGTATTTAGTGAATACTGCTGCTGCATCTGTTCATCCAGCCAGGCTTCTTAAGCACATTAGACATTGCTAGCTTTTCTTAAGCACATAGGGAATACAACTCTGTTCCTATTAAAGTAAATATTTACTGTGTACTGCCTACTGTTGATTGAGAGTAATGGATCTCAGTTGGGGATGTTTGGTCCACCATTTGATAATGTTTGGAAAGTTTTGGTTGCGGTGACTTTAGGGATGGGAGATAAAGTGCTACACCCAGTAAATACAAAGGAACAATGAAATATGGATATCTGGACTCACACCACATAAAAATAATCACAATTCTTTTACACACCTTCCCCCACATTTAGTTCTGTGCATTTAAAACATCATCTACAGAATTTTATACCCTATCTTAAATTTTGTTAAGTGTTTAATGCCTGAAAATATGGGGTGGTGCCATAATTTACATGCCTATTATTCGGCTCTCAGTGTGTATGTGTGTGTGTATATATATTATACATATATATATATATATTTTTTGGTCGGTCATGGGGCTTGAACTGTGGGCCTGAGCGCTGTCCCTCAGCTTTTCAGCTCAAGGCTAGTGCTCTACCACTTGAGCTACAGCGCCACTTCTAGTTTTCTGATGGTTTACTGGAGATAAGAGTTTCACGGACTTTTCTGCCTGGGCTGGCTTTGAACCGCAATCCCCAGATCTCAGCCTCCTGAGTAGCTAGGATTACAGGCATGAGCCACCAGTGCCCAGTTGGTTATTTTTAAGTCAGTGTCTCACTATGGTACCCAGACTGGTGGGCTCACATGATTCTGAGCCTATCTTGTGAAGGGGATATAGGTACATGACACAATAGCCAGCTAAGAAAAAGCTTAACTCAGAGCCTAGGCACTGTCCTTGAGCTTTTCAACTGAAGGCTAATGCTCTAGCACGTGAGCTACAACTCTACTTCTGGCTTTTTAATCAGAGGTAAGAGTGTCATGGACTTTCCTGCCAGAGCTGACTGAAAATGCATTTTACTTTTGCCAATTTGATATCTCTTGCCATACATATGAAATCCAGTAAAATCCATGCCTTTCAGAGAAATATATTTACTTATAGCTGCTCCTATTGTATGAGCTTTCCTTAAACATTTAAGAAAAATGCACTTTCAAGATTCTATTTAGGGGCTGGGAATGTGGCTTAGTGGTAATGTTTGCCTTGCACGCATGAAGCCCTGGGTTCAATTCCTCAGTACCACATAAACAGAAAAAGCCAGAAGTGGCGCTGTGCCTCAAATGAGTGCTAGCCTTGAACACACAGAGGCTCAAGGACAGAGAACAACCTGAGTTCAAGCCCCAGACACGGCCAAAAACAAAAAAAACAAGATTCAATTTTTAAAAATGGGGAATAGTTATATTGTAATATGTTTTTTTTTGTCAGTCCTGGGCTTGAACTTGGCCTGGACACCCTTGAGCTCCTTTTGCTCAAGTCTAGCACTATAACACTTGAGCCACAGTGCCACTTTCAGTTTTTTCTGTGCTTAACTGGTAGTAAATTTCACAGACTTTCCTGCCTAGGCTGGCTTTAAACCTCAATCCTCAGATCTCAGCCTCCTGAGTAGCTAAGATTATAGGTGTGAGCCACCGGCGCCCAGCTATAAATCTCTTTTTTAAAAAAAGATTCAGCAGGATTGGGAATGTGGCTCAGTGGGAGTGCTTGCGTTGCATGCATGAAGCCCTGGGTTCAATTCCTCAGTGCCACATAAACACAAAAAGCCAGACGTGGCGCTGTGACTCAAGTGTAGAGTGCTAGCCTTGAGCAAAAGTAGCTCAGAGACAGTGCCTAGGCCCAAAGTCAAAGCCCCAGAACTGGCAAAAAAAAGATTCAGCAAATAACACAAACAGTTCTGTAGCCCAATGGTAAATATAGACTGTTAGCAGAATTTAGATATTACAAGGGTTCAAGACAAACTATCCTTGTAAGGAGGGTAGAAAAAAATTTCACTCTGTGAATAGTTTCTAATGTGAATGATGTGTAAAATCACACAAGTTAGCACACTAACCATACAAAAGATAGGGCTAAAGTTCACAGGACAAGTCACCCTTTTGAATGAAATGTAGTTAATTATATTTTTAGCAATAAATGTGATAGCATTATGTAACTCACAGGAACAATCCAATGAGAAATCTGATTATAACAACTATACAGATATTTTGGAATTACAGTATTGAGACTGCAAATTAAGTATTAGCTTGAATTTATTACAATGATTCTAGTATTAGTTTCAGGCTCTTTAACATTCCACTTGTACTCTACCAGTTGAGCCACACCTCTACTCCAGCTTTTCTTATTTTTGCTGTTTAATTGGAGAAAGGAGTCCCCCAAACTTTTATACCTGGTCTGGCTTCCAACTAGTCCTCCAAATCTCAGCCTGACTACTCAAGTACTCAGTTTACAGGCATGAGCCATTTCACCTGAACCAATGTTTCTTTCTAATGAACTGACCATTACATTTCCAAAGTTCTGAAATGGCCAACAGACCAAGAAAGACATTCTTTAGGCTCCTGCTTGAAACCAACAGCTTCAGCAAACTGCTGGCCTTGATTCAGGGCCAAAGGAAATGAAGACTTTCAATTAAGCCAACTGGCAAATTCCCACCAGTCCTCTTCTCACAAGCAAAACAGAGCCTCAACAGGCAATTTTAAAAGATACGGGTAAGGCAGTGTCTGGTCATTGGAAGAGACTGATTGGAGCAACGAACATCATCCACAAAGGCCAAGCACCTCTGACTGGAACGAGTGGTATGAGCCTAAAATGGAGAAAACAGATAAAACTGACAAATCCACAAAAGAACATTCAACCCATTGTGATGAGAATACTACCTATGGAAACACAGGAATAAACAATTTACAAGTTTCCGGTAATTTATTACTTTATATTGTTATAATGGGAGCCTAGGGGAGCCAATTTTGGCTACAATATAAGTTGTATGCCCTGCTATCGATGATAAATGAGCTGTTAATGATTTTGCCACAATGATACTAACAGATAAAAAATAACCGCATGACTCTTCTCCATATCAACCTTACCTCCAGGCATTCAACTGTTCCTAGTCTTCCAGCTATCTCCTCCCACTCTCATGCACTCCTTAGGTCTCATGATGGAGCCAAAGATGGCCTCAAACTTATGACCTTCCTGCCTCAATCTCCTAAATGCTAGGATCAGACATATGAAATCATACCTTGCTCTTCCCACCTTTTTTGGAACTAAGAATGAATCCATCCAGAGCCTCCCACATAATAGGCAAGCACTTTACCATTTGACCCATACATGCCCCCAGCCCTCTTGTTTCATTAAGTCTTGATTAACTTTGCCAAGACCGACTTAAATTCTTAATCCTCCCAAATAATCCAGTTACTTTCTTCCTTCCTTCATTCATGGGTTTTGAACTCATGACCTTGTGCTTGCTCGGTAGGTGATACCACATGGGCCTTTATGTTCATGCCCTTTATTCTTTAATTGTTTGATAGGGTCTGGTATGTTTGCTGAGGCGAGCCTCAGACCAGGAACCTCTTTACTATGCTTCCTACATGGTACACATTTCCCCTCCCAGTTTATTAGTTGTCCTTCAACCTTGGTCTTCCCAAAATTCATTTCCCAAGTTGGGCCTTCCCATTTTTAAAACAAGACAAATGGCTGATGGCTCACATCTGTAATCCTAGCAACTCAGGAGGCTGAGATCTGAGGATCACAGTAAGAAGCCAGCCCAGACAGAAAAGTCCATGAAACTCTCATCTCCAACTAACCACCAGAAAACTGGAAATGGCACTATGGCTCAAAGTGGTAGAGTGCTAACTTTGAGCTTTCCAGACACAGGTCTAGTCAGTAGGAGACAGGGAAACTAGAATCCAGTCTTCCTGACCTCCAGTTAAGTACTTTTACTACAAATCTAGTTCTAACTCAGATTTCAGAGCCAGGAATGGATGGATAGTGTTTTTGAACACTCATTGTAGGGCTAGTGTGGCATAGTGGTAGAGTGTTTGCCTAGTATGCATGAATCCCTGGGTTCAACTCCTCAGTCAGTACCACACAAACAGAAAAAAGCTGGAAATGGTACTGTAGAGCAAGTAGTATAGTGCTATGCTAGCCTTGAGCAAAAGAAGCTCAGGGACAGTGACCAGGCCCTGAGTTCAAACCCCAGGACTGGCAAAAAGAAAGAAAGAAAATTACTCACTGTAAGTAAATATATATACAAGTCTACAGGAATATAAAACAAATTACCTGTTGGGAGGCACCATCAGTGGCCAGCATTCTGCGCTCCTTCAGCTGTCTGTGTAATAGGGCTTCTACTCCATAGCGTTGACGGTATCGCCGTAGACATTTTAATCGCTTTAAGTTTTCTCGTTCTTTGGCCAATAGTCCCTCTGGGCCAGTCAGGAGACTACTACCTAGAGAGTTACAAGAGTCACAAGTGAACCCAACCATGAATCCAGATGCTTTGGAAATAAGCAGGAAGTCTTTGGCCATAAAATGGGCACACTCAACTACAGAAAACTTGCCTAGAGCTTCATGTTCCACTTTGCGATTATGTAAATACCGACGCTTTTTCTCTTTGAGCAAATGCTGAAGTCGTTTAAACTGATCAATATACAAAGATTGCAAACGAATTAGCTTCTCACGCATAATCAGGGCCACTTCTTCTGCTGTGTAGACACCAGCATGTCTGGAATACACAAAGTATTCAACAAAGTATAAGAAAAAAAAAAATAAAACCAAGGCCCAAAGTAAAAAAGGGTAGAGAACAGAATGAGTTTGTGAATTTAGAAAGTAACCAGTGTTGGCAGGATCACCTTATTATAAACATGAGCAGCTACACAAAGCATTTTACTACAGCGCTACTCAGGAAACTGAGATCTGAGGATAAAAGCTCAAAATCAGCCCCAGGCCGACACATCTGAGATTCTTTACCAGTTTTAAAAAAAAATGTCACAAGTGAAAGTGTGAACTCAAGTGGTAGAATGCCAGCTGTGAGTAGAAAAAGCTAAATGAGAAAGCACGGGGTCCAAGCTCATCAAGGCCCCGCACAACAAGTAGCTGCACAGAAGAAAACAGGGTTGGGGGTACAGCTCAGAGGAAAAGCACTTCTTTAGCAAAGTAATCTTTATGCAAAGTAATCATAACCACCAAAAAGAAATTTCAAAAGGGTATGATAAAAAGGGTATGATGTAGCTCAGTGGTAGGGTGTTTACCTAGAACATTCAAGGCTATAGGTTCGAGCCCCAGCACTGAGGGTGTGGTGGGGGAGAAGCATATTGAACATTGTCAATCTTTCTTTAAAAATCTGGCGTGCTGGGCTACAGTAGACTTCAAGACTAGCCTGGCGGGGGGGGGGGGGGGGTAGAATGCCAGTTGAGCTATCATATTGCGCAAGTGCCAGGGCCTGGGTTCAAATCTTGGTACTATCCTCTTTAAAAAAAAAAAGGGGGGGGGG